AGTGAGGGCCTCAAGAGCATAAAAAAGAAGCAGTCAGAAATGAAGGATGTAAAGTCAGAAATGAAGGAGGCACTAACTGAAATAAAGAATAATTTACAGCCCTGGCCAGTTTGGCTCAACAGGTGGAGCGTCAGCCTGTGGACTAGAGAGTTCCGGGTTCAGTTCCCACTAGGGGCACGTATCAAAAAAAAAAAAAAAGAATAATTTACACAGATTCAATAGTAGAGTAGGTAAAGCAAATAAGCAAACCATCAATTTGGAATATAAGGGAGCACAAAAACCTGATCAGAACAGCAAAAAGAAAAAAGAAGTGAAAAAAATAAGGATAGTGTAAGGAGCCTCTGGGACAACTTCAAGCATGCCAACATTCGCATCTTGGGGGTGCCAGAAGGAGAAGAGAGAGAACAAGAAATTGAAAACCTATTTGAAACAATAATGGCAGAAAACTTCCCTAACTTGGTGAAGGAAACAGACATATAAGTCCAGGAAGCACAGAGAGTCCCAAACAAGATGAACCCCAAGAGGTCCACACCAAGACACATCAATCATCAAAATGCAAAAGGTTCAAGACAAAGATAGAATCTTAAAAGCAGCAAGAGAAAAGCAGTTAGTTACCTTAAAAGGGAGTTCCCATAAGACTGTCAGCTGATTTCTCAAAAGAAACTTTGCAGGCCAGAAGGGAGTGGCAAGAAATATTCACAGTGATGAAAAGCAAGAACCTACAACCAAGGTGACTCTGTCTTGCAAAGCTGTCATTTAGAATCGATGACCATATAAAGAGTTCCCCAGACAAGAAAAAGCTAAAGGAGTTCATCACCACCAAACCATTATTATTATTATTATTATTTTTTATTCTCACCCGAGGACATCCTTCCATTTTTTGTTCAGACAGAGTGGGAGGGAGAGAGAGGAAGAGAGAGAGGGAGAAACATTGACATGAAAGAGACACATCTAAGGGCCACCCACATGACCAACCAGGGCTGGGACAAACTGCAACCGAGGTACGCGCCCTCAGCGGGAACTGAACCCAGGTCTCTCTGGACTGCAGGCCGACGCTCTAACCGCTGAGCCAAACCGGCCAGGGCACCAAACTATTATTATATGAAATGTTGAAGGGTCTTCTTGAAGAAAAAGATAAAAAATATGAACAAACAAAATGGCAATGAATATATATCTATTGACAATTGAATCTACAAACAAAATAAACAGGCAGAACGGAAACATTCTCATAGATACAGAGAACATTTTGTTGGTTGCCAGATGGGAGAGTGGTTGGGGAAATGGGTGAAAAAAGTGAAGGGATTAAGAAGTACAAATTGATTGTTAGACTGACAAACCTCAAAGGGAAGGGGGGATGGAAGGTGAGAAGAGATAAACCAAAGAACTTATATGTATATATACTTAACCAATGGACACAGAAAGGCAGGATGGGGGTGGGAGTGGGGAGGAGGGGTTCAATAGGGGAAAAATGAGGAACATCTGTAATACATTCAACAATAAAGATAAATTTTTAAAAAAGATTAAAAAATAATTTTAAAAAAAGCAAGTGCTACAAGTGGGCAAGTCACAGATGTGAGAGTCAAGTTGGTCAAACAGAGTAAGAAACATTAGCATTCTGTGAAGTTTGAATAAGAGAAGATGAAATGCCATTTTAAGTTCATCAGACTGGAAATTATATGTAATGTTTATTATAATTTTGGTGTATTTCCTCCTAATTAAAAAAAATGTGCATTAAAAAAAAAAAGCAGATTTGTGATCAAATTGAGTTTTGCTTATATCCCTCACCCTCCCTCTGTCAGTAGTCAGATCTTACTCAGGTGATGGAAAGGCCCAACTTCAACTAAGTTTTCCTGACTCACTTTCTCTCCACTCTCCTAGCAGGTCCAACAGGGTTGTGTCACACAACCAGGAATCTGCCGAGTTACCTTCCTATTTTTCCCCACAAGGAAGAGGGATCAGGAGACCCACCTGCTTAGAAAGCTTCAAAGACAAGTGTTTATCCCAAGTAACTTTCAAAAGAAAACATTCACAAAGAGAGGTTTTCATAAACATTCAGACCCAAAAACCAACAGATGTGAGCTGCACCCCTCCTCACTTCCTTTTCTGTGTACCTGATACCTGGTTAAATCAAAACATGCATAGGAGTGGGCATGGAGGAGTCAGTCAAAACAGAAAGAGGGGCTGTGTTTACTGAGCTGGTAATTTCATCTGGAATGTTACTGATCAAAAATGTTCTTAGGTCATAAAGGTGACACTTGAGGTCTGAATGACTGACGTGGAATTGCCACTTTTTTTGTTGTTGTTAATCCTCACCTGAGGACATTTTTTTTTTTTATCCTCACCGGAGGACATTTTTCCATTTTTTGTTCAGATACAGTGGGAGGGAGAGAGAGAGAAAGAGAGAGAGAGAGAGAGAGAGAGAGAGAAACATCGACGTGAAAGGAACATATTGAGTGGCTGCCACCTGCATGACCAACCAGGGTCGGGGACAAACTGCAACCGAGGTACGTGCCCTTAGTGGGAACCAAACCCGGATCTCTCAGGACCGCAGGCCAAAGCCCTAACCGCTGAGTCAAATCGGCAAGGGCGGACGTTTTTTGTTGTTGTTCATTTTTAGGTAGAGTGGAAGGGAGGGAGGGAGGGAGATAAATCAATTGGTTGCCTCCTGCAGGACCCCTGACTGGGGCAAGGGATGAACCTGAAACCCAGGTATGTGCCCTTGAGCGAGAATCAAACCCAAGATCCTTCGGTCTGCAGGCTGACACTCTAATCACTGAGCAAAATCGGCCAGGGCAGGAATTGTCTCTTTTAATGTTTCACACACAGAGTTTCTTAAATTGGTACAAACAGGAAGATGCATGCTAACCGTGCCGGGGTTCCATTTTGGCACATTAGCCAGTCAAGGAATGCAGAATTTTTGGGCATTAGCAGCAGGAGGAGTGCCTGTTTCCTCAGGATGCAGCTCTGTTGTTTTTTTCTTAATCTTACCTACATTAACACCCTTATTTAGAAAGGCTGGCACATCACTATAACCACCTCTGAAAATTGTATTTGGCCAAAGGCATCAATCCCATTTCAAATCCAAAACTGGAGATTTTTTTTTCTCTGAACACAGTATCTTCCTAATGAGAGCATACAGCTCTCTCTCTCTCTCTCAAAAATTTTTATTGATTTTTTAGAGAGGAAGGGAGAGGGAGAGTGAGAGATAGAAACATGATGAGACAGTACATCGACTGGCTGCCTCCTGCATGCACCCCACTGGGGATCGGGCCCACAACCTGGGAATGTGCCCTGACCGACCAGGAATCCAACCCTCGACCTCTTGATGCATGGGTCTATGCTTAACCACTAAGCCACACCACCTGGGCAGGGCATAGAGCTCTTAAAAGGATTTGTGACTATAGCTCAGGACGGGAATTCCTTGCTTTTCTTTTTCCAATGCCAACCTCACAAAATCCAGTACCACTTGTCCTGGGATTTTGCATGGAAGATGATTCAATTAACACACTGCTCCTCACTGTACACTTGGAAATAGAGGCTCAGTTTCCTTTGGTTCTTACCAAAACTGCTTATGAAACATATCTGATTTGGGTGCCCACAGCTATAAAAATACCAGTTCATAAATTCCCTTGATACATTTCATTAGAGGCTAAATTTAGCACCTCGCCTGAGGCCTGGTAGCTCACCTGCTCCTAACCAGCATGCCTCCACTTTCATGCCTGCTGCAGGGTGCCCATGTTCCTGTCTGGTGTCCTGTCTTCACTGATGAAAGTGACAGCTAGAGAAACAGATGCCAGTTGTCAAAGACAACCAACGTGCTTGAAAGACCTGACTTTCAGACTGGCGATCAACACTCTGTATCGTGTGAAAAACACCTTTTTTCATAGGCTTAACAAAATCTGTGTTCGACCACATGTACCTTCCGACAGAAGAGAGATAAATAGCATTTACAGGGCTCTCCTACCCTCGGGAAGGGACCGCACGGGCCAGTCCCTGACTCTGCCTACCTCTGTGCCCACCACAGTTAACGCCTGCTACCTCTTCGCGCTGTGGGTGTCTGCTGAGGGGCGCGGGTTGACGGAGTCGGGAGGGGCAGCCAGCGCAAGTGCACTGGAAGGCGGTTCCACGCGGGGGCTGCGCTTAGTGCTACGCGCACTATCCAATCCCATTAGGATCCTATACTTTGCTTGTCCATCTGTGAGAGCGCGTTAATCAGGAGGACTCAGCTACTGTGCGACAGGTGCAGATTTGATTTTTCGCTTTTTTCTCGGTGCAGTTTATTCATTCGCACCGTGCGTAGGTCAGCCGTCCCCGCACGCCCCGGCGGTGACATCACGTACGCGTTTGCAGCCTCGGAGGACAGCCAATTCCTGAGTCTGAGGGCTGGGGTTCAGGCCGGGACCCTGCCGAGAATGTGAGAAGTTTCCATTCCCAGGTAATGCATACAGAACACCGCCCCACTGTCCCGGTGCCCCGCCGCCCGCCTTTTATAGCAAGTCGGGGAGGGGCGGGACCAGAGACCGCCGTGGCGTGCTTACGTAAGGCCCGGCAGAGGGCGGGGCAAGGGCGGCGGCGTTCGTTTGGGTACCTCGGGCGTCTCATCCTCCCTCCTCACCCTGCTCAGCGTCCTCCTCGGCGTCCTCCTCAGCGTCCTCTCTGTCGGCCTTCTCGGCCTCTCGGCCTCTCGGTCCCTTGGTTGCACGCCGCCGCCCGTTCGCCGCTGCCCGTCCTCCTCCGCGCCCTCCCTGCGCCTGCCGCCATGGGCCATCGCCCGCCGCGCCGCCGGGCCGAGGGCAGCTGAAGCGCGGAGCCAATATGGGCGAAGGCGGAGCAGGGCCCGAGCGCCAGCCCGAGCAGCCCGGGAGCCCCGCGCGCGCACGCCCGCGCCGCCGCGGGGATGCCCGCGCCCGCCGCCGCGCCCTGAGCGCCTTTGTCTGCCGCCCGCGCCGCCCGCCTCACTGTTGGCCTTGCGGGCCCGCACCGCGGCCCGGGTCGCGTCCATGAAGATGGAGCCGGGCCTGTCGGCCTCCCCCACGGACGGCCAGAGCCCCGACCCGGAGCCGGGCGGACCCGACTGGCCGGGGGCCGCCCCTACGCCCGCCGACCCCGCCCCGCGCCCGGGGCTGGGCCCGGGAGACCCCTCTGGCTTGAGCGCGGGGCGGGCTCCGGGGGCCTCCTACCTGCCGCCGAGTCAGGCCGCCTGCCTCGACCCCCTTCTCGACCCTGATCGGCAGCTAACAGAACTCGGCCCACTTTTTTTCTGGACTGAAGAGGCAGAGGATTATGGTCCCCAAAGTTGCCCGGAGAGCGCGTCTCTCGACGCGCAGGATTTTAGCGACAGCCACCACAGGAGGGGCGAGGTCGACTTCTTTCCTTCCTTACCCTCGCCCACGGTGGGTGAGTTGACACTGGAGGTGGGTCCCGGTGACGCCCACCGGCCCACCGATTTAAGCCAGACCCGCTCCCTCGCGAGCGAGCCCGCGGGGTGTGCGGAGGACGGACCCCGCCTCCGAGCCGTATTCGACGCCCTGGACGGGGATGGGGACGGCTTCGTCCGCATGGAGGACTTCGTCCAGTTCGCCACGGTCTACGGGGCAGAGCAGGTAACTCGGCGAGCGCGCCTCGGCCCGCAGCTTGGAGCCTGGCCCTGTGTGCCTCCTCCGGGCCGACACGGTCCGCTGTGGTCAGGGACGCCCGCATGTTCTTTTTATTCATTTATGCTCTTACCTCTGGTTGAATTTTATTAAAGCTCCTTTTCCTCCTTTAAAGAGATTCTATTCTAGGGAGTCAGGCTCTTTGCGCCCCCCACACACCCCCTCCACGCGCGTCACACGACCTGGATCTGTACTAAACCGAGGGACGTTAGTTCCTGGCGTCCTCACGTTTCCAGCTGCCTGATAGAGGTGCCCCCAGAATGAAAAGTGCCTGGCGGTTCCTCCAACTGAGGGCCCACATCTGGCTTGGCTGAAGTAATTCACTCCTTCAGACCTTAAAGGCCAGGCTGTGCCTGACTACTTAAGATCATGCTAATAGACGCCTTTTTGACATGTTCTGCATAGACTCATCTTTTATTGTTTGGGAGATAGTGAACACTAAAAATTTCACTTCTTTACTTTCTGTGCAGAAGGAAAAGGAATGGAAGGGGTTGGGGTAAGACTCAGGGGATGAGCCTGAGAGCACCATGTGAATACAAACTTTTTCTTTTTAATATGTTTTTTATTGATTTTAGAAGGAGAGGAAGGAAAAGAGAGAGAGCAACATTGATGAGAGGGAGATATCATCAGTCGGCTTCTTTCTGCACGCCCTCCCTCTGGGAATTCAACCAGGGACCTCTTGGTGCATGGAAGATGCTCAACCACTGAGCCACACTGGCTGGGCTACAGACATTTTTTTTTTAATTTATTGGTTTTAGAGAGAGAGGAAAGGAGAGAAAGGAAAACATCAACTTATTGTTGTTCCACTTATTCATGCATCATTGGTTGATTCTTGTATGTGCCCTGATGGTGGAATTGCTCCCAAAACCTTGGTGTGTGGGGAGGACCAACCAGCTGAGCTATGGGTTCAGGGCTGGTGAATACAAACTTGAACAGAACTCCATCAAGGAGTTCCACTCTTGTAGGAGAGGTGAGCATGTGCAGTGCAGTATAGCAGGGGTACCACCCGCAGTCTCTCAGGGCTGCAGCTGCTCTGGGAGAGGGTGGGTCTCAAGATCTAGCCCTTCCCCTATGTCTCAGTACTCATGAAAGTTGGTGGAGACAACGGCAGGGCTATGTATGTTTTGCTGATAACTCAGTAGATAGCAAATAAGTTATTCATGTTCACTTTTAAATATTTTGCTTAGTAGTAGGAAATCCCTAATATGCTGATCTAGTTTTTGTATTTTATTGACTTTTCAGCACATGCAGACATTTGTTAAGTGAGTGTTAAGTACATATGCATGTTTAAGCCAAGAGATCCTTAAGAAAAGAGGTAAAATGGACACCCTGCTATTTAGGGTGTCAGTCATAACATTAAGAACCTTTATGGCCCTGGCCAAGTAGCTCATTTGGTTGCAGTGTGGTCCCAATGTGCCCAAATTTCTCTTTCCATCCTTCAGGGCACATATGGGAAGCAACCAATGAATCCATGAGTAAGAGGAACAAGCAGGTTGATGTGTGCCCCCCCACCCCCGCTTCCCCTCGCTGTCTAAAAATTAATAAAAAATTTTAAAGAAAAACATAATAAAAAAAAGAAACTTTATAAGGGACCCGTATTGTGTCGTTCCCCCTCCCCCTTTTGTCTCTTGAGCCCAGCAGCACAGTGCTTGTTTTTAGCTCTGGGTTGGAAGATTTTGCTCAGATAGATCTTCTGTGTCTTAGTCTGATGGGAATATACAATATAATTTCCTCTGTGGTTAGCAGGGATTGTGATTGCTGGTCCAGGTTCTTTTGATGCTTTTCCTTCTTGCCCATGGGCCAGAGAACACCTTGGGCATCCTTGGTTGTTTTTTACTGGTGTGATATGTTTTCTTTCTCAGTACCGCAGGCCAACGCTCCAACCGCTGCGCCAAACCGGCCAGGGCATGATATGTTTTCTTTCTAAGCATATCCTTTCTCATTACACCAAAGATGTTTTAAAAGTACTGCATTTGTTCTTTTTTTTTTTTTAACCATAACCTGACTCTGATAGAGTACTTTATAGCTTATATAAGGCCCATTTATATTTTCACTAGATCATTATCACCTTTTTCTGAGGTAGTAGTAGGCAGTCAGGCTTCATCTCACTTGACAGGTAAGAAATGAAAGCCCAGAAAGTTTAAATAACTCCCAATATCCCACAAATTAAATTGTCAGTGCTAGAACAGGGACTAGAACCAGGTCTTTTGGCCTATAACCTTCAGATGGCTCTCAACTTCAGATTTGGTGGCTCAAAATAGTCCCATGAAGTTTCAGCTTATTGACTTCCATAAAATTCTTTTCATTTGAGAAACACCTTTTGTTGTGACTCTCCTTATTGATCACAGTGGGAAAAACTTTGTGTTGTTATTTGGGGCTGAACTTTCTTATTATCACAAAGTAGAAATAAGCCAAAAGTTTTTGCTCTGATAGCTCTTGGTGGAATTTTAAATTTGGTGGTAAGGCTTGGGTTTGGTGGGGATGGGTGAGTGTAAGGAGACCTGTGGCATTGCCCCTTTTGTCTGCTCTCCCAGACTGCTGAGGAAGAAGTGTTGTTAGCTCACCTGGACTTGTGTGAGCTTCTTGGAGCAGATAATTCACAGGGTAATGAAAGCTTTACTTTTGTGTCTGTGTAAGCTTTGCTATTCTTTATTATGATTCAGACTTCCTTTTCCCAGTTCCATTATCATAATACATTATAGAGGAGCAAAGAGAAGAAATATTCTCTGATAGTGAAGTAGTTTAGAGAAAAGTGAAGAATTCTACCTCATGATGAATATTTTTAAACTTTTAAGTGAAAAGTCTTGAACATATACAAAAATAGAGAAAGAAGGCTATTCTAGTGACCCACCCTCCCCTTAGCCCCCCAGCTATTGCTCACTTTCAGCAATCTTGGTTCATCTATAAACTCCCCACCTCTGGATTATTTATTTATTTATTTTTATCCTCACCTGAGGACATTTTTCCATTTTTTTGTTCAGATAGAGTGGGAGGGAGAGAGAGGAACAGAGAGAGAGAAACATCGACGTGAAAGGGACACATCGAGTGGCTGCCACCTGCATGACCAACCAGGGCTGGGGACAAACTGCAACCGAGGTACGCGTCTTTAGTGGGAACCGAACCCAGGTTTCTCTGGACCTCAGGCCGATGCTCTAACCGCTGAGCCAAACCGGCCAGGGCTGAATTATTTTTGAAGCATATATGTGACATACATTTCATCCATAAATATTTCAGTATATATCTCTAAAAGATAAAGATTCATTTTAAAACATTCATGACTTTTTAAGAATCCTAGAAATTGTTCTGATAAGCTGGATAACAGCAATAAAGACCATACATTTTTGTACTTTCCACCTTGAGATTTCAAAATACTGAGTGCATGAGAGGTTGGTCACCGTCCTTGATGATAACAAGTAGATTATCTTGATTATTGCAAAATTTCCAAAGGTAGCATGTTCATTATCTTTTACATAACCTGTTTATGAAGAAAGCATTTTCAATTACTTAAGTGCTATATCTGAAGTTTTAATAGAAGCAGCTCCCATTTATAATACAGATGACTTTTGTGTCCCTCTTCAGCAATGTCATGGTGTGTTTGGATCTCATTACATCATCTGGTGATAGATCAGGTGTGGTATAATATAACAGTGTTAGAAGGAATCAGCAGAGGAGAGAAAGAGGACTATAGTAGAGCTTTCTGGTTGAGACAGGAATTGATAGCTGCACACAGGCACTAATTGTGAACTTGGAAAAATTTTTTTAAATGTTTTTATTGATTTTTTTAGAGAGAGAGGAAGGGATAGATACATTGATGTGAGAGCAAAACATTGATCAGCTGCCTCCCGCACCCCCACCCCCACCCCCTGAACCCTGCCCACAACCCTGGCATGTGCCCTGACCAGGAATTGAACTGGGACCTCTCAGTCCATGTGATGAAGCTCAATCCACTGAGCCACACCAGCTGGGCTGGAATAGGTTATTTATTGTTATTATTACTTTTAAACAAAGGCTTTTTTTTTCTTTTATTGATTTTAGAGAGAGAGGAAGGGAGAGGGAGAGAGAGATTGGCTGCTTCTTGCATGCCGCCCACTGGGGATCAGGCCTACAACCTGGCCATGTGTCCTGATTAGGAATTGAACTGGCGACCTTTTGGTGCTTGGGTTGGTGCATGGGTTGACGCTTAACTGCTGAGCCACAACAGCCGAACTGGAATAGGTTATTATTTTTTTTTATCTTCACCCAAGGACATTTTTCCATTTTTGTTCAGATAGAGTGGGAGGGAGAAAGACGAAGAAAGAGAGAGAAACATCGACGTGAAAGGGATACATCGAGTGGCTGCCTCCTGCACAACCCCAACGGGGACAAACTGCAACCGAGGTATGTGGCCCTAGCGGGAACCGAACTTGGGTCTCTGTGGACTGTGGGCTGACGCTCCAACTGCTAAGCCAAACAGGCCAGGGCTGGAATTAGGTTATTTTTGACAGCTTTAACCACTTCTGAAGATTTCTCATCAATATGACCCCTTCATACTGAGAGGACTGATGCCTTTGTAGTCATCACTAACTCATTGTAAAGCAGAAATTATAGAATAAATTCTAAGAATATTGTGAAAAATGATTGATTTATTTTGGTTTTATTTTTTAAAGGAATTAATTATAAAGATTATCTTCATATTGTATTATTACACTCATTTAAGCGTTTACATTTTGATAGTCACTGATCCTTTCCAGAGAACCCTACACATAGAAGCACTGAATGAATGCCCTTCAGTAACCTTTTAGGCATTATCTGTCCTCTTCAGTACAGTACTTGCATAAGTAGGCTGCTGAAGGAAGTGTTGATGCTCAGGTCTCCCTGCTTTTCATTCCTGCACCTCTGCTGGTAAGAATTGGAAGTTCCTAGGGACATTCGGCTGCACCTTTTTTCCTTTCTTTTGGCTGCACCTTTTATTTTTTTTTATTTTTTATTTTTTATTTTTTATCCTCACCCGAGGACATTTTTCCATTTTTTGTACAGATAGAGTGGGAGGGAGAGAGAGGAAGAGACAGAGAGAGAGAAACATCGACGTGAAGGGACACATCGAGTGGCTGCCACCGCACGACCAACCTGGGCCGTGGACAAACTGCAACCGAAGTACGTGCCCTTAGCGGGAACGGAACCCGGGTCTCTCCGGACCGCAGGCCGATGCTCTAACCGCTGAGCCAAACTGGCCAGGGCTTGGCTGCACCTTTTAGTTGCTTCAGTGACCTTTCCAGTTTCTGCCCTGCCCTTGAATTTGAGTGTGTGTGAGCGTGTCTGTGTGAGTGAGAGAGAATGAGTGCATCTGTGAGCAAGCCATGAAGGAGCTAGTGTGTGTGTGAGAGAGAATGAACCTGTGTGTGAGAGCAGGTGCATGTGGGAGCTTCTGGGATGTGCGTGTGTACGTACCTCTTGGTTTGTATATCAGATGGATTGGTTAAAGGCAGATAATGTTTCTTTTTAATATTTTCCTTTTAATTTTTTTTTTCTTTATTGATTTTTAGAAGACAGGAAGGGAGAAGAAGAGAGTTAGAAACTTTGATGAGAGAGAACATCGGTTGGCTGCCTCCTGCATGTCCCCCACTGGGGACTGGGCCCACAACTTGGGCATGTGCCCTGACTGGGAATCACACCGGCGATCTCTTGGTGCATGGGTCAATGCTCAACCAGTGAACCACACCGACCAGGCCAGATAATGTTTCTTTTTTTTTTTGATCCTCTCCCCAGGATATTTTTATATTAATCGTCACATAGAGCTTGAGGGAGGGAGGGAGAAACATTGACATGAGAGAGACACATTGATTGGTTGCCACCCACACAGTGACTAATGGCAACTGAGGTACGTGCTCTTGGCTGCAATCGATCCGAGACTCTTTGGTCTGCGGGCGATGCTCTTACCGCTGGGCCATACTGGCCAGGGCCAGATAATGTTTTTCTTTTTTTTTTAATCCTCACCCGAGGATATTTTTCCATTTTTTATTCAGATAGAGTGCGAAGGAGAGGGAGGGAGGGGGGGAGAGAGAGAGAGAGAGAGAGAGAGAGAAACATCGACGTGAAAGGTACACATTGAGTGGCTGCTTTCTGCACGACCCAACCAGGGCTGGGGACAAACTGAAACCGAGATACATGCCCTTAGCGGGAACTGAACTCGGGTCTCTCTGGACTGCAGGCCAACGCTCTAACCACTCAACGAGCCAAACTGGCCAGGGCTTGTTAGTGTATTTAAAAATGCCATTTTCAGCCCGGCTGGTGTGGCTTGGGTTGAGTGTCGACCCATGCACCCAGAGGTTGCTGGTTCGATTCCCAGTTGGAGCACATGTTTAGGTTGTGAGCTCGATCTCCCATAGGGAGTATGCAGGAGGCAATCAATCAGTGTGTCTCTCTCACATCGTTTTTGTTTTTTTCTCTCTCTCCTCCTCCCTCCCTAAAAAAAAGAAAAAGCCATTTTCATATAAAAATAACACATGATTAATTTTTAACTTTTATTGATTGACTTCTTTAGAGAGAGAGGAAGAGAGAAAGAGAGAGAGGCACATGCTTATTTAAAAAAAAACTGGAAAATACAGAGTGATATAAAATATAAAACAAAAATTAACCAATAATCGCACTATCCTAAGAAAAATACCATTAGTGTTTTAGTGCATTTCCTTCTGACTTTTTTGTACATACACAGACACACATACGATTGTATAGAAGTACATAACTGAGATCTTATTGGGTAGAAACTAAGTTATTGTTTTTCTTTATTGATTTTAGAGAGGAAGGGCGAGGGAAAGAGAAAGAGAAACATTGATGAAAGAGAACATAGATGAGAGAACATCAGTTGGCCGCCTCCTGCACGCCCCTCACTGGAGATTTGGCCCACATCCTGGGCATGTGCCCTGGCCAGGAATCAAACCAGCAACCTCCTGGTTCATGGATAGATGTTCAACCACTGAGCCACACCAGCTGGGCAAAACTAAATTATTATTATTTTTTTATCCTCAGACGAGGACATTTTTGCATTTATCTTCAGATAGAGTGGGACGGAGAGGGGGTGAAGAGAGAGAGAGAAACATTGATGTGAGAGAGACACATCGAGTGGCTGCCACCCACAGGACCCCAGCCGGGGCTGGTGACAAACTGCAACCAAGGTACGTGCCCATAGCGGGAACTGAACCCGGTACTCTCTGGTCCACGGGCTGATGCTCTCACTGCTGAGCCAAACTGGCCATGGCAAAACTAACTTATTTTTATAGATTTTCCTTGCTTAAAAAGAACAAAAGTGTAATGCTCACTTTGGTAGCACAAATACTAAAATTAGAACGATACAGAGAAGATTAGCAATGGTCCCTGCACAAGGATGACATGCAAATTAATGAAGTGTTTCATACTTAATAAATAAAAAAGTAAAAAGATGAAGGTAAACTATACCAGTAAGCAATGTCAGAAAAGTAAGAATCACTAGAATCCCACCATCTAGAAAGCTACTTAAGTATTTATTATGTAAATTAAAATATATCTAATAAATGCTTCATTGTACAAAAATTTGTATAATTTTTATATCTGTTGTTTTGAACCTGTTTTTTGACCAGTTTTTTGATATTGAAGACATCTGGTATTCGGTGTATACTTTAAGGGAAGTCTAAGGTTTACCTGTCCCAGGAAGATTCCGTATTGTTAGGGATTATTCCAGTGTAGTACCTAACATATAGGAAGACTTTAATTGCATGTAGACTACATGGACAGAGTTGTAAAGGGCACCAAGCAAGATTGCTTCCCTTCAAAACACTTATTTCGTTTGAATTTTGGAAATAGGGTCTAAACATTAGTTATAATTGAAATATCAGACAAAGGATTAGGCATCCACTAAAGACTTATATGGCCCGTAAAAGTAATGGTTACTAAGTTGCCAATGTAATTTAGATCAGCACTTCTAATATAAGTGAAGAGAGCAGTATGCTAAATTGTATGTATATCACGATTATAACTATGTAAAAATTATCCATGTGAAAAAAAATCTTGAGGGAAATATGAAAAATTACTTTTATTTATTTATTTTTTGGTACATGCCTCTAGGGGGAACCAAACCCGGGACTCTCTGGACCACAGGCCAATGCTCCAACCGCTGAGCCAAACTGGCCAGGGCTGAAAAATTACTTTTAGTTGTGCCAGGGCAGTGTGTTTCACTGGTTGAGCATTGACCCATGCGCCAAGAGGTTGCTGGTTCAATTCCTGGTCAGGGCACATGCCTGGGTGTGGGCCCAATCCCTAGTGAGGAGCATGCAGGAGGCAGGCAATCGATGTTCTCTGTCATTGATGTTTCTATCTCTCTACCTCTCCCTTCCTCTCTCTAAAATCAATAAAGAAAAAATATTTTAAAAAATTTACTTTTAGTTGTGTGAGTATGTGTGTGTTGGGGAGATATACTTGTAGGAGGGGAGTGGATGGTGGGAATGGGGTTTGGTTTTATTTGAGGTATTGGCCAAATTTTCTGTTACATTACTGATTCTATTTTGAAAAGTTGTGTCTGTACACACATTACCAATTTCAAGCAGTGTAAAAAGGAATCTAGTAAAAGATTTCATTATAATTTTTAGAAATGAAAAATGTAAATAAACCCTAAAGATAAAATTTGTACATGTTTTACTTTGACTCAATTTAGGTTTTAGGTCAATATACAAAATACATCTAAAGAAACTCAGATTTTCTAGTAAGTTGAAGACCTTTATAGAACATTGAAGTAACATTTGTTCAGATGCTTATCGAAGATAGACTGTTCATTTTTATTGATGTTTGGATAAATGTATATTAGAAAATGCCCCCAAAAAGGGGAAATGCTTATAATTCTTGAAGGTTGGCTTCCAGATGGGCATTGTACTTTTATCTGTATCTAATAAATAACTCTTAAGTAATTGGTGAAAAGAATTGCATTTGCCTGTAATTTTCAAAAGTTCTTGAGACTAGTGGATTATGATAAATGGATTCATTACCATGGTTTGGGAAGACAATACATTTTTTTCAGTAGGTACGTTTTTTTTCTGTCCATATATTTCATACTTGTTTTAGGCAAGTTGGTATTAACTCTGGTTACAACTGTGTTCTTGTATAAGTTTCAAAACCAGAGCTAACATCGAGACAGGATCTTGTCTATGCTGCTGAAACAGGTGTCTTGGTTCCCTATCAGCCTTTTGCTGGGCAAGCTGAGCCTTGGACCAACAACAGCAGACCTTGAATGGTGCTGTGCCCTTTTCTGCAGGGATATTGTGGGGATGATATGGATGGATGCTCCAAATCTGAGACAAACTGAAGGGCTAAGTTAACATTTTAGCATTATTATCTGTAAATAGAGGAAGCACTATCACTGCATTATTTTAAGTCCTTTTTATTTTTTTTTTCTTTATTGATTTTAGAGAGAGAGGAAGTGAAAGGGAGAGAGAGATAGAAACATCGATGAGAAAGAACATCGATTGGCCGCCTCCCGCATGCCCCCCACTGGGGATCGGGCCCACAATCTGGGCATGTGTCCTGGCCGGGAATGGAACCAGCAACCTCTTGATGCATGGGTCGATGCTCAACCACTGAGCCACACCGGCCGGACTTAAGTCCTTTTTATACACATCATATATATGTTGATAACTTGATACTTGCTGTTTCTAAAATTTATAGCCATTTTTTTGAAATCCTAGTTTTTTTTCCTAAAAACCCATGTTTCCGGAAGGATTTAAGAATACACAGCTTGCCCTGGTCGGTTTGGCTCAGCGGTTAGAGCGTCGGCCTGTGGTCCAGAGAGACCCAGGTTCGGTTCCTGCTAAGGGCACGTATTTCGGTTGCAGTTTGTCCCAGGCCCTGGTTGGGTTGGGCGGGTGGCAGCCACTCGATGTGTACCTTTCACGTCAATGTTTTTTTCTCTCTCTTCCTCTCTCCCTCCCACTCTATCCGAACAAAAAATGAAGAAAGTGTCCTCAGGTGAGGATAAAAAAAAAAAAGGAATATATAGCTCTTATAATTCTAGTTTGTTAAATGATCTGTTTTTCTTTGGTTACATAAATTTATAAATTTTTACAAAAGTTTTAGAGCCTTCTGTGCCCACAGGTAAAAATGGACCTGCTGTAGTCAAAAGTGAGCTTGCTTGTTTTATATCCCTGTTTTGAGCTAGGGCTCCATGGCATTTGGAATTTATCAGTATTGTTATCAGAGGCTTTTATGATTCCTTGTTTTTCATTTAACATAATTTATTTTGATTTCTCTTTAAGCAACTTTAACCAGTTTAAAGCCTAAAACTCACTTTATGAATGAAGTGGTGCCTGTTGGCTAAGTTTCTTTATAGGTGGTTTGTCTGTTCTGACAAGAGGAATTGTTCAATATTATAAAGACCTTCATTGCTGTACATCATTGGGTCAGTTAACAACATTTTACTATAACTAGTAGTCCTGGGGCAGTTTTTTTGTTTTGTTTTGTTTTTAGATTAAGGTGCCTGCTAGTGAACTGATTAATCATATTTTTAAAAGTAAAATAGTAATTTATTTGTTTATTTTCTGGACTTCTTTTTAAGAGTGAGTAGAAGAGCCCTGGCCGGTTTGGCTCAGCGGTTAGAGCGTCGGCCTGCGGTCCTGAGAGACCCGGGTTCGGTTCCCGCTAAGGGCACGTACCTCGGTTGCAGTTTGTCCCCGGCCCTGGTCGGTTGTGTGGGTGGCAGCCACTCGATGTGTCCCTTTTACATCGATGTTTCTCTCTCTCTCTCTGTTCCTCTCTCTCCCCCCCGACTCTACCTGAACAAAAAATGGAAAAATGTCCTCGGGTGAGGATAAAAAAAAAAAAGAGTGAGTAGAAGGGAAGGAGGGAGGGAGTAGGGTAGAGAGAAACAAAGATGTGAAGAGAGACACATAGATTGGTTGCCTCCCCTCCCGCATTAGCCCCAAAAAGTGCAGGATCAAACCTGCAACCCAGGTATGTGCCCTTGACCAGGATTCAAACCCTCGACCCTTTGGAATGAGGGTCCACACTCTAACCACTGAACCACACCAACCAGGGCAGAAGTTAAATAATATAGTTCTCAGTTCTCAAATGTCTCCCATCTTGAATAATTTGGTTCTTGGCTAAGTTGTTCAAGGAAAAATATGTCTCGATTGTGGGAAAAACTTTGCTTCTGCACATGGAAACCCTTTCATGCAAATACCTCAGCATGACAAAAAGCTCTCTCAGGCGACAAAGGAGAGAATGCGTTTGTTTCTGGTGAAATCTATGATCAGCGCACAATTTTTTTTTTATCCTCATCTGAGGACATTTTTTCTATTTTTTTGTTCAGATAGAGTGGGGGGGGAGAGAGAGAGTGAGAAACATCGATGTGAAAGGGACACATTGAGTGGCTGCCACCTGCACGACCCAATCAAGGCCAGGGACAAATTGCAACCAAGGTACATGCCTTTAGTGGGAACCGAACCCGGGTCTCTCTGGTCCACAGGCCGATGCTCTAAAGGCTGAGCCAAACTGGCCAGGGCTGAACACACAATTTCATTTAATTTATTATTTTAAAAAGAGATGTTTTTGTTGATTTTTTAGAGAGGAAGGGAGAGAGAAAACATCGATGGGAGAGATAAAACATCGATGTGAGAGAAATACATCAATCGGTTGCCTCCTGCATGTCTCCCACCAAGGATCCAGTGGTAACCCGGGGCATGTGCCCTGACTGTGAATTGAGCTGGGACTTCTCAGTCCATGGGATGATGTTCAGTCCACTGAGCCACATTGGCCAGGCAGCACACAATTTTAAAACATGAAGATGCCATCAAGATTGCTAATGTTGCCCTGGCCGGTTTGGCTCTGGGGTTAGAATGTGGACCTGTGGTTAGAGCATGGACCTGCGGACCAGAGAGTCCCAGGTTTGGTTCCCGCTAAGGGCATGTACCTTGGTTGCAGTTTGTCCCCGGCCCTGGTTGGGTCATGTGGGTGGCAACCACTTCATGTGTCTCTCTCTCACATTGATGTTTCTCTCTCTGTCTTCCCCCCTCTCCCTCCCTATCTGAAGATAAATACAAAAATCTCCAAAAAAAAAAAAAGAGTGCTAATGTTATAGTATGTGCAACCAGTCAACACAGATATTAGGTTGGAGAAAGCAGGAGGTGGGTGGGAGCAGGAAGGAGGAGGTTAATGGGGAGAAAAGGGGGACATCTGTATTACTTTCAACAATTAAACAAACAAAAAAAAAGAGTGCTAAAGTTGCTACGGGTGTGAAAGAAACATGATCATAGCCCCACCAGTGTGGCTTACTGGATTGACCATGAACTGAGAGGTCCCGGTTTAATTCCCAGTCAGGGCACATGCCCAGGTTTCTGGCTCAATCCTTGGTGGGGGGCATGCAGGGGGCAGCCTTTTGATGTTTCTCACATCAATGTTTC